GGCCTCTGATCCCTCAAACCCACTGCACGGTGTCTGTGGGGGGGGGGGAGGCGAGGGAACATATAGTCCAAATTCACAGATTTCTTGATGTAAAATCATCTTCCCATAACCAGGGTTTAGACACTGGGTTTTAAAATTAACCTAAAAAGAGAGATATTCTTCATAATGACCCAGACTGCTGACAACGGTGCAGATTGTGATAATTTTACTGAAGTTTGATTTCCACAGGAAAAAATTTAAATAAGCAAGTCTTGTTCCCATCCTTCCGAGTGTCTTTCTTGTGACACTCTTAACCTCTCCAATCTGATCTGTCCCCGCTGCTTTTCAGCTTCCACAAACCCTCGGGGGAAACTATGTGTCTGACAGAATAGTGAACGTTTGTGTAGCTCATGCACCATTTTCACCTACCCTCTCACCTTACTTAACCAAATTATGAATGTTTCCTTGTTCGTGGAAAGTTTTACATCCTCTGTGGTTTGTGTTTTATCCTGAGAGTTTTCCTCCTCCACCCCCCACCCCCGCCCCCCGCTCTTGTATGTCCTTAAGACAATTAAGACACCAAAATCCTGCCCCCCTCAATTTACTCATGTTGGAGGCTTTAAAAAGTTCATGGAAAATGAAATTAAAAGATGATGGGATTTTTCCCACCAACTCTTTGAAACCCCCTTGTATGCTCAGCGAGGTAAAGGGAAATCAACTACAGCCCAGGACGGAAATTAACTGAGGGTCAGGGAGATTCCAGCTGCGACTGGTCCTCAGAATCTTCTCACCAAAGAGGGACGAAAGGAGGAGGGTGAAAATGAAATGGGGGACAAGGCTGTCATTCCGTTTTGTCCTGAAACATGACTTCATCTCCAGGAATGATGGGCTTCACGCCTTAGACCTTTGTCGAGGACCAGAGAGTGTGGGAGGTTCCTTATAATAGAAATGAAGAAAAGAAGCAAACATGGAAAGAGAGGAAAATACGTATCACCTAAAGAAAGAAGTATGGGGCACCTGAAAATGGGCCCCACACATCTCTGCTGGAGAGCTGCCTCTACGCAAAGTTGAGAAATAGTTTTAAGTGTCCTCAAATGGGCAAAGCAGCCATTCAAAATAGCGTGCACACTCCCGGCGCCTCGGATCTTCCGTAAAAGGTTTTTTGTATGTCAGAATTTTTAAGAAGTGGGAAATGCTTTAGTCCTTAAGAACACGGACTAAAAATAATAAAAATAATAGTCACGTAGCATTAAATACCTCACTTTCATTGTATTCAAGATCCCTAAGTGGTCTAAGCTCTGGAAAAAAATTCAAGATGACCCCCAGTCACCTTCACCTTAGATCGCTCATGGATATATTTTTAAGAAAGACCAATATGCAAAGCCACTGCTTCAGAAGAAGAGAATGACTCCCTTAAGAACAGTGTGCTGGGACCGGTTACACGCTTGTTCGCTTTGTTACAAGTGCAGAGAAGCTTTATCTCCTGCACGGCTACTGTACTTTCACTGTATTTCTTCTGACACAGACAGGACTGCATAGGCCGAAGAAGAAAATAAACTTAGGGGCCCAGGGAGGTGAATTTCAAATCAATTCTCCGACTATTCCTGTGATACATTCAAGCGAAGGAGCCGCACTATAACTCCATTTGATAAGTGGAAACGTTATGAATCAGAAGGAGTAAACCAGCATCTAACTAACCTGAAAACGCCAGTCTAATTTACTTGGGGGTGGGGTGGGGTTTGAATTAAAGGCGATCATATAACAGCTGTAGGTTTACATAAAGAAAGCACACAAAAATATCCAGACACTTGTCTGAATGAGTCATTTTCCAATCAACGTATTAGGCTGGTCAAATTCAACCTTCGTTGACACCCACCCACAGTACAAATTTTGATTTACATCAAAACCCACCAGAAGACATGATCATTCAAAGAAATTTTCATGAGCCAAAATTTACCCTGACTAAAGAGCATACCTTCTCTGTTGTTTTCCAGGATATGCCTTTCTATTTCATTCCCTTAATATATTTAATAAATATATATATATATATTTGTAAAAGGCAGTTTGAAAATGATTGCTTTTCATCCCCCTAAACTTTGGGAAACTACTAAGGAAAATGAAAGGTTCCTAAGAGTCTGCTCAGTTCTCTACTTCTTAACCAGGCATCAGCAAGCAGGAGAAGAAAGCATTTGAAACCATCTATCTATGTGGAAATAAACACAGGAACAGACACTACTGCTCTGGGTAATAAGAGATTCAAAGCAAAGAATTCAAATCCAAGAGGAAGGAAGTGATGGAAGATAAGCCGGAAAGGAGAACCCATTCAAAGACTCACGTTCCAAACACAATCATGCAACCAGTATGGTCTTTTTAAAACTTTCCTTCAGGCTCCTGGTCATTTTGTATAAGGATTCTCAAAGTGTCTGAAAACCATTTAATGCAGAAAGTTTCAGATGGGTCATATTACGGGGCTATTATCTGCCACTGGGATGATGGGCAAGTTTGAATAAAATACGGTCCCCTTCTTAGTTGACCGGGCTCACTTTGCAATTATTAGCGAGGCCGTAAATAATCCACCAAGGAGCAGCCTCATTAGTGCCCATTGAAATTCAGTGCCATTAATTTGCAATAAAAGAACTGAAAATTAAGTGGAAAAGAAAATAGTTTCGGGCATCCCCCAGAAGGTGATGGAAAGCACATGGTACCACTGGTGCCTCCCTTCGCATCCAGGAGTTTAAAACACTCTGTGAACTAGTTTTAATGGCGAGGTTTTGTTCTCCCATGTTTAAAGGAAAGAATAAGGCAGGGGGGATGGGCAGAAGATATCTTTTTTTTTTTCTTTCCAGGTGAATCCTAAATGAATCATGTGAAATTCATTTGAAATAAGCGGACTTTTAAAAGCTTTTGTTGGTTGACTTAAATAACCCATAAGGTTGGACCAGCTTCACGATGGGACATGGAAGAAGCCCTTTGGAGGGGGCCTAGGAGTTCACTCTTGGGTACTGGGGAGGGAGGGAGGTGCCCTGGCACCTTAGTCCTGTCTCGTCAGCTAGCGAAACCTCTCCAGGAATAAAACACCAGGCAGAAAAGGCTCCGTGGCTTGCAGTGCAGAATAGCTGGGCGAGGCTGGACACCAGCGCACAGCGACAGGCGCAAAGCACCCAGAGCCCAGTACCAGCCACTTGAGGGCCTCTGATCCCTCAAACCCACTGCACGGTGTCCCTGTCCCGCGCAGGCCCAGCCATGAGAGAAGGGGAAACTGTCAAGGGACAAGTGGCATGGAAGGGAAAGAAGAAGGCCCATGCTATATTTGTTTTGCTTTGTTTTGATTTTTCAAATGAGAACACAATGGATTGCCCACGGATGTGTCCTGGGCTCTCCTGGGCTGCCTTAAGTGACCTTCGGAAGGTGCAGCCCCAGACGGGAGATGACCCCGTGTGCCACGCTGGCGCTGGCAGAGTTCATTTCAAACCACTCGTGCTTCGATGTGGCAGGGTTGAAACTCATAGGACACCTATAAACCCGGGGCTGTCGGAGGTCACATGCCAGCAATAACTCAGAAATCAGAAACTTGCTGGCGTTTGCTCAACGCTCCTGGGCCCTCCGGGTTGCGCGAGGCTTCGCTCCCAGTGCCCTGCAGCCCCGAGGCAGGGAGCAGAACTCTTGGGGAAAAGCAATCGCTCTTCCTAATCCTTATCATCACTGAGCGCGCCCAGCTCCGAAATGGCAAAGAACACGCTAAAATAATACTAGCGACCGGAAAAACTCTCCCGGTTCCCTCTAAGCCCAAACGTCTCCAGTCCGGAAGGACGAAGAGGGGGCTCACAGCTCCTGACTGCGCTGGTCTGGGGCTGTCCCTCCTCGCCACCACCCCCGCCCCCCACACGCACGGACAGCAATCGCCGCCGCTTTGTCCACTTTGCCGCTGTTTCTGCTTTGGCGAGGAGGCTCGCACGCGGCGCGCAGCGGGTGGACAAGCAGTTCGGTTTGGGAAAGCGGAGCCATCCACGCGGCGCCCCCAGTGCACCGCCACCACCCCCGCGCACGCCCCCGGGCCCCCGACGGCCGGTACCTGTAGTAAGCGGACGGGCCGGGCTCGTGCACCCCGTAGCCGCTCTGCTCGTTCTCCAGGTAGTAAGGCACCTGCTGGCCGTGCGGGTGCAGGAAGGGCGAGAGCTGCTGCGGCTGGTGCAGCAGCAGGAGCTGGCTGGGAGACACGCTGGCCAGCGGCGCGAAGCCCCCCATGGCGCTGGCGCCG